ACAAAGAGTTTAATATGCACACATAAATAGTTGAATAGTGGAAAAAATCTATTCATAATCATTCTGGAAAGTTAGTAACTGCAATTCATGTTGCCTCATATTTACTTTTTCTTCTGAATTAATGTAAGAGATGCTTGTTTGCATGAAAATTTGTGGAAAATGTATGTTGAACCACTAACCAAAATTTATGTATGACCAAATGAATTAATTTGGACAGAATTGAAAACCAGAGTTTTCCATCTTCGCCCCCAGTTTTCCCAACAAAGTTTGCTGTTTCTCTCCAACAGGTCCCCATACATGTCCTTGTGCCAAAATTACTCTTTGTCACAGTAGCCAAGTGGGTGCTAATGGTGTCAAGGAAATCAGAGACCAATTAAATTGACATTTAAATAAAGAAATTAAGAAATTTTAGAAAAGTCCTTGACAGATGCAGAGACCTTGTTCTCCAGGGCCCCCCAGCAGCATGGTAGTAGGAGGGCTGCACTCCCCAGCACAGGTTCCTCATCTAAAAATCACATTGTCATGTAAAACAGAGGAAGTCAGAAGTGCCTCCTTGTCCTTATTTTTTATGCCACAATTTGTTGTAAAGTTTAGCATATGACTGAGAATGGACTAGTCAGCACCACAGATACCCATATCAGTGTTTTCTGTTTAGAATAGTTACAAGGTTTGCTGTTCTTTGGGCTGCTGGTGGTTTCTTTATAGTTTTGTTGAAAGTACCTGCTCTGAATTTATTATTGGCCTCATCTGCACTTTGTTGTTGTACTATAATTATATTCATTGCTAGGAATCTCAAACAAAACCACACGGCCCAAGTGATTAATTACATATTGATAATGGAAATAGCAGCTTATATGATGAGTGCTGTTAGCCAGCATTTTGTCTACAAAGATGCATTCCCATGAATGTTCCAGTTCTTTTGCAGTTGTAAACTCATGAGAAGCTCCAGGGTGCAGCAATGAAAATAGTTTCCATCAGTGGAGGTCCAAGGCACAGAGTTTAAACAATAACAGATTACTAAGCCACTCTAATGAAGAGCAACTTCAAGGCAAAAGTAGTCCAAAATTAACTGGATGCATCATTGTAAATAGTTAACAGTGATAGATGAGGACATGTGTTATCAGGACTGAGTGCTCTTTCCAACTATTAGACAGTTTAGGTTCCCTATATCATCAATACTGCTCTAAAAATTACCTAATCTCTATGGGCTCTAACATTAAGTACCACCTGCCTATTTATTGGTTTATCTCAAAAATGTTTGAAAGACATTAATACATCAGTAAAATACTATGAGTCTCGGGTAGCTCTTCCTGTACACACTTTGGCCTTTCAGTGAATCCACAGTAGTCACCTCTCTTTCATCAGAGTTAGGATGCTTCCAGTTGTTTTGTACTTGCTTCTGGGTAAGAAGCTACAGGCAAGCAGTCGCGGGTTGGTGGGTGAAGTACATTATCTTCTTAATTGTGCATCTAACTTCAACAACATTTTTGAAAGCCCTTTCAGCTTCTCAGGTGGCACATGCTAGAGCAGTGCAAGGAGGTGTTGCTAAATAAATCTAAATTCAACTGTTAGGCAGATGCAAAGAGTATAATAACAATTTTAATCCGTGCAATGAGCTAATGGGAATCCAGATAGGAAGCCCTCTTTTCTCCTTTCATTAACCCATAACCAAGAACTGTCTTCTGCTCTAGTTCTTTAGATAAGCTTGTGAAAAAGAGCAAAAACTGATTCAGTTTTCCCTTAATTTTTTAAAAGCTGATGGAAACTGTAAGTTTCACTGACAGTGAAGTTTTCCATTTTCACTTTATTACAGTTACTGATATTTTTGTCAAACTCTGACTGTTAGTGTTCCCATAAGTTGAGTCAGGAGCTGGAACAGTATAAAGGGTTTCATTCCCAAGTGACAACAAAACCATGCTAACTGCAATCAAGGCAAGTGTAATCCAGTTTGATAACAAAAGAACAATTTTCTAGTTAGAGTCCCTTTGGGTAGTGACAGTAATGAGTGAGTTCCCCAAGTGCAGCAGCACATTGCTACCTCTCTTGTGATGATTTCAGGAAATGGACTCTGATTACAGTCACTTAGTGTCATGCAGAACCTCTAGTAAATGGATTTAGGGAAGAGAGTTCAGTCCTGCTCATCTCAGACCACTCTGGTCACAAGCAAAGTGCAGATCCTGACAGCCAGCAGTACGAACAGTGGTAACCTGCCTGAGGATGGGACCCTGAACTTGGTTGTGGGATGGCTGGTTCCTCACCGTCAGGAAGTCCAGTCTCTATGCTTGCATCCAATGCTGAGAGCCCTCCATATCTATGGTCACCTTGATAGTGGCATGGACCCATTATCAGAGACTCTAAATGCAGTCCCTTAGCACTTCTCTCTCCTGATTTCTTTCAGAGGCCACCTCTATTTACAGGAAATTTTGACTAAGAGTGTCAGTACTTGGTCATCATTATAATGTTGAATAATGTGCATGCTTCAGCTGAGTCGGAACAAATATATTCTTCAGGAACAAAGAAAGAAATTCTAAAAGTAACAATGACTACAATGTAAAATTATAAACGTTATTGTTGAAGAGGAGCTTTATTGAAAGACCTTGTATACCTTCCATTAAAACACACTAAAAATAGAAACAGCTAGGAATGACGTAAGTGACAAGTCACTTTAAAGTCAATAGCAACATGCTTATGATTCAATATAATGCTTGATATCTTTAACATTTCAAATTCCACCTTTATCAGCTGTAGAGGCTAAAATTTCCAGAGATGAGTTTTTATGGATGTGCATCAAAATCCATGTTTGGGGCCAAAGGTGGAATTACATCAGTCTGGATAAGTGCTGGGTGCCCCCAAGACTAAGGGCAATCAGTTGGAGTTAAGGATGCTCAGCACCTCCTTTCCAAGAGCTGCTAACAGTCATGAACTTCCTCCCTCACAAATAACCCGTAAATGCACTGGAGGGTTTTGTTCTCTTTAGGATGATACTAAACCTGCATAATATAATAGATTTATGACTGGAATAACCTTTCAGATGAACAAAAGCAGAAGTCTGGATTAGGAGCAGCTGGTTAAGATGACCTTACAGCCTTCATGTCCCTTTAGAGACATCTTTTCCACAATTATAAGATAATTATTACAGATGGACAGTTTTCTCTTTTCCAGAGCTGAACTATTAAACAAGTTAAAAATATAATGGGCACTTACAACTCTTTATGGAGGTGATGCTGGAGCTAGATAAAGTTAAACAGAACTTTGCTTTTAAGGTAGGGATTTAGCAGGGACTTTTGTTTATGAAGCATGAAAGAATATGCTTTCTTCACCAGCACTATTAGCTATCAGAGGGCTTACAAGCAGATCAGGCAACAAATTCAAGTTTAAATGAGCTTAAGCATGCTTTTAAAGAAATTCACCATTTGGGTATTTTTTTGGTTGAAAGAAGTTTATTTTTTAGACTTCTATCACATTTTCATTGAAATTCACTTAAGTTACTGCACAAGCCTTAAGTGAATGGAAGAACTGTTTCAGCGTTTTTTTCCATTGTGTTTCATAACTGAAAGGTTTTGCCTTAAGCAGAACCTGAGGCAATTAACATTTTCGGAGAAAGAAAGCAAAGAATTCCCTTACTCTGAAATGTCTGCAGTCTTCCTCTGTTCTAACACAAAGCAGATTGCTGCTCCCAATTAGCAGCATATTGCAAAGTAAACTTATCTCCTTTTTTCCCAGTTGACTGCTGAGCAGAGTTGAATAGTATCTCTTCATTCACTGTCATTTCAAAGTATTCCTAACTTTATTACTTACTGGCATGGTGGGCCACCGTCTTTCCCAAAGGAAGATTAGTCTCCCTTTCAATGAGCTTGGTGGCTACCAATGGCCATCCTGAGGCAGAGAAGCTGGTGGTGTCAATGCCACTGGCAGAAATAGGAGATGGTGATGACCCCAAGATTGAAAGGGTCAGCAAGGATGAGCTATGGGATATAAAATCCTGCGGTCTTCACACCTGGGGAAAACGTATGACCCCACAGGCATGTGTGAGTTGAGCTGCTCTGCACCAGACTGGTATAAAACACCTTCATCTGACATCGGATCCAAAGGGAGGACTAACAAGGTCCTTTTGAGGTTGTGTCCCAGCTTCAAGCCCTTTGAGAAATTTGTTACTTCAGCACTGAGCCGCTGATGCCAAGGCAGATGGAATGAGGATTGCCTTGGAGGAAACCCAGAGGTGTCCAAGTGTGGGAATGCCCAGCGTAGCAGAGACCTTGGCAAGGGGGAAAGTAAAAAGCTAGTGCCTTTCTAAAATCATTCCAACATAAGATGTCTCATAAAGAATAAAAATGAGGGTATTTAATAATTTCACATTACTTTTGCTTTATACAACAAATACTTATGACATATCTTTAATGACTTTTCCTGAATTATTATGTGCTCTCAACTCTTATTAAATTTTAATGCTGTTTTCTTCCAATTTTATCGCAATCTGCATTGAGAACATAATCCAGATTTTTCTAACAAATGGAAAAGTAGTTGTTACCTTTGGGATTTTGATAATGGAAATGTAATCACTGTTTTCAGGACCCTTTCATAACTAAGGATGAAGAACCAGGCACTTACAGGCCTTACGACCTTGGAGAGGAAATGGGAGTCTGGGTGAACAACTCTGATGGCATAACTCCTGCTGTTGGGAAGGTTGGCTTATTAAATTGTCTCATGCATTTGGTGTAGTGCTGCTTCAAAGTGATAAAGCATCTGCGCAACAGAAATGAGAAGATAACCAAGTGTCATACCTGTGAACTCTAGGCCTTGCCCCCTGGAGATTCGGTGTTTCCTGACTACACCAACCCCAGGACAGTGGAATGGTGGACCCAGTTGTGTCTGGAGTTTAAGGATGTCCTTGACTACGATGGGATCTGGATTGTATGTCTCCTTATATTTGCCCTCCCTTCTTTTAAAAAGAGAAAATGAGGCTTTTGACATATGTCTTACTCTCTTTCTTAAAGGATATGAATGAACCATCCAATTTCTTAGAAGGCCAGTATCCTGGATGTGCTGTTAATGATATCAATAACCCTCCTTATGTCCCTAGTAAGTAAACAATCTTTTTTTATAACCCTGGATTAGCTATTTCTTAGAAAAAAAAATCCATTTTCTCATTTTCCATCTTTCCCTGCCTGCTCAGTGCATTCAGTTACACACTTGTTTAAGACTCCGTTGGCTCAGCTTTGGTGGAGTATCAAACAGAGGCCACTTTCCTCTGTCAGTGGGTCTGCCTTGTAACAGGACTAGAAGAGTGGCCTCCCCTTCTGTTCTCAACTGGTCTACATCAGAGAAAGGGCAAGATACCTATTCACAATAACAAAGCTACACAGTTATGGAAGGAGTAACCCTTCTGCCTTACCATCACCACAAATAGTCCCAGGGATGAACAGTCTCTGCCTTTTCCACAAACCATGGCAAGTAAGATGCCTTTCTCTGATTCAATATCTTTTCTTACTCTTAGGAAAGGAGTTTTCATTGCCTTACTAGAAATGGGCTTAAAAATAAGTTAAAAAATGCCCAAGCCTATGGGAGACTGATAGGAATGAGAGCACCTCTTCCAGCAACCAAGTTAATTGCATGCTCATTCTTCCCCAGGAAGCCATAAGTACTTACAATTAGTGCCAGTGGTCCTGGCAATTAATCCAGTCAACATTTCCCCAGGAAAGCCCGGCTGCCTGAGCAATGCTAATATGCAGCAGGAAGTTGATAGATAAATGAGTTACTGATGATGAAGTACTGCAAACGTCCCTCTTTTCTCTTCAGGCTGTTGTACTGTCATGTGAATTCTTCATTTTGTTTATTAAATCTCATTTCTTTTCACTCTTTTCATATCAACATAACAAAAACATGACAAAATATTATAAAAATATTGTAAATTATTGAAACCAGAGGCAGAACGTTTAATTGTGATTTGGTGTTTCCTCTCTTTCTGGGGAAACCACTGACTGTAACACTTGTATACTGGCTCTGTGGCGCTTGAGACTGACCAAAGCCTGGGAACTGATGAGAGATTTCCACCTTTGCCTTAAGTTACCTCCATTTTTGTCAATGGAACTGCAAAAAGAGGTGTGAGACTTCAGGCAAGATGGCTGAAAGAGCAGAGCTCCCTTTATCCTCATAAATAAAGGACTGAGGGATGGACCCATAAGGAGGCTTCTGAGCCATGAAACTGAGCTTTGCAACAACAAATGTTGATAGCCTGAGCCATCACAGAGGAGCCAGACCTAGAGACCTAGATATCTACATGACACGTAAGAACAGGGAGAGATGCTGAAGTCAGGTGTGTTCTGAGCCCAGTTTCTCTCTCTGACTTGCTCTTTCTTGTGCATGTATGCACCATCTTCTGCTTGTGACTCACAGTGTTAGAATCATATCGTAGAATCACAGAATGGTTTGAATTGGAAGGGACCTTAAAGATCATCTAATTTCAAACCACCTCTGCCATGGACAGGGACAAGCTTCCACAAGAGCAGGTTGCTCCAAGTCCCTGTGTCCAAGCTGGCCTTGAACACTGCCAGGGATGAGGCAGCCACAGCTTCTCTGGGCACCCTGTGCCAGTGCCTCAGCACCCTCAGAGGGTGAATTTCTTCCTAATATCTAACCTACATCTCCCCTCTTTCCGGTTAAAGCCATTTTCCCTTGTCTTATCACTACATGCCCTGGTAAGAAATCCCTCTCCAGCTTTCCTGTAGGCCCCTTTTAGATACTTGAAGACTATTATAAGGTCTCTCTGGAGACCTCCCTGGTGTTGATCTCCCTTCTGCAGGCAGGAGCCTAAGGCATTTTTCCCAAGGTATAGGAGATCTGTTTTCAAGCAGTGTTTAGATGCTTTCTTTTATATTCCACTTTATGCCAACACTGTATATGCCCTTGGCTGTCCAAGCCCTTGACTCATGCAGGTGTGAGGTGGGACCTAAGCTGCTTAGTCCAACAAGACTTTAGGACCTTTCTGGGCTTGGTAGGGTTTTGGAGGCTCACTATTCTCTTAGGTGACCAAATCTGTCAAGTCCCAGTGCCTCAGACTTTTTGGCATCGTAGCCTTCAGCCTCCTTATCTAAATTATAACCACGATTACATGTAACTGTGGTTTGAACTTCTAAAAACAGATGTCCTTCAAATCAATTTTCTATAAAACACTTTATTCTGAAGATAATATGCAGTTGTAAAATAATCAGTATTACTGAGGCAGAATACAAAATACCAGAATAAGAATAAAGCATGAAAATATGACTCATTTGGCAGCTTTTTTTTTTTTCATATCCCATTTTAACTTTATGGCGTTAATAATTAAGTGCTGCTGGGACATTAAGTGTGACTTTCCCCAGAGTCTTAGTGTCTACTTCAAAGCCATGTCAGCCAAAGTTACCTGGAAATTGCCTATAAATTAATTTATTTCTGATGCAGATCAGCCACACTGGAGTCTTTGTGTCTAAAGATCCAAACACAAGGATTCCAGCTGTGGTGGCACAGCAGAGCAGAGAGGCTAATGGAGTCTGAGGTACAGAGAAATGCACTTTGTAGTAATGAACTGCAAACATACAGTGAAGTGCGAATAGGCAGTGAGATTGCTTGCTCACAAAGTTACAATGCTGCCTGCACCTAATTAAGCATGCAAAAGAAGAATATTTGAGAATCTACCTTCTTTTTTTGAGAAGATTTTATGACATTTTCAACTCCATCTCTAGAAATTAATACATGGGATAAACCAGACATCTGACCTGTCCAATTCCTGCTAGGCATGTTCATGGAGGTTACCTGCAGAGGATGAGAATCACATTTTCTGCACCAAAAGGGCTTTGCCAGCGTCTCCTTAATATGGGATCAAAGAACAGCCAGCATCTGTGCAGCCAATTTGTGCTTCATATTGCTTCCCCTTGGCTCAGCTAAAACAGTGCTGCGCCAGCGACATCAGGGCTACCCCTGACTAATACTGAGCAAAAAGCCACCGCTGCCTGTGACCTCCTGATAGAAGGAGTTACTGGATAATCATCCGCATGTGAATATACCCATTATAATCTGTTCTTGCTCTCCTGTGCAGCCTATCAGGCCACAGCAGATGACAGCCTGTGGACTGCTGCACCTCATGATTTTTCCTCCCCTGCATACCTCTGACGCTCCCCACTCATCACTTACAATGCCATCTAGGGCCTCTGGTCCTTTTATTCTTCCTGTCTTTTAGTCTTAGATGCTTCAGGAGAAGAGAGGGGCTGGAGTTGAGTTTAGGTGTGAATTTTGCCATGGTAGGGCAGAATCGTGCTGCCTACCTGCATCTGCAACTGAGTGATACACTAACTGAGGTCTCATAATTTCACACAACCATACAAGTTGCCTGGGTGCCTGAATTTCTGGGTTTGTTTTGTTTTGTTTCTTGCAACATTTTTGCTCTTCAGTAATATTTGTCACTATGTAAAAGAATATGCAGGTGTGTTCTTAATTCAGCAACGCAGAAGGTTTTTTTCTGGCTATTACTTACTGAATACATGATATCTGTACAGAGGTTTTGAATCATCGGACATAAAACTTGCAAATAATGAGCAGTTTACTCAGTCCTCACCACCCTGAAGACATGTGCCTGTCTGCAAGCAGCTGTTCATGGCTACATGTTAACCTCTAATCAGTGCAGGTCTGACACTTCTTCAGCTTTTCCTCTTCCCAAATCCTTTGGAGTTTTCACCCCTAAATGAGTAAAAAGAGATTTGGTCTTGATCCTTGAGCTCCTTTCCAACCTGCTATTCTATGATTGATGTATGTAATTTTAGTGTTTTTTACCATTCTCAGGCGTTTCTAATCATTCCCTGGCGCAGAAGACATTGTGTCCTGACTCCAAGACCTACCTTGGGGAGCATTATAACACACACTCTCTCTTTGGCTGGTCACAGACAGCACCAACTTTCAAGTAAGTTTTGTAAGCATTTTAAGCAGATTTCAAGTGATCAAAATACGAAGCTGCTAATGATACCTGGCAAATCTGTAATAGTATCTAATAAGAAACAACCCCATGCTTCATTTTACGTTTGTCATTTAGTAAGAAGTTTCAAGAAAAGAGACTCTTCCAAGAAGGAATAAAATCTTTTCCAATTCTGCTTTTCTTAGCTAAAATAAGGATCTACTTGTAAAGCCTAACTCTTCAGCTGCTGCTTTTGTATAACTAGAGCAAGATGTTCCTGTCCTCCGTTAGAGATGCTCACGTGCAGCTGCTGCAGAAGCAGCCATGTGTGGTGTCAGGGGAATCTTTCCAGCCCTTCACTATCTGGCCCAAGCAGAGGAGTTACCATCAATCACTGCCAGCGAAGGATCTCAATGGTTGTCCTGGGTTCAGCTACAGCAGTC